ATTTTTTTTCAAGCTTTGCTGTTTGCGTGGTGGAAAGTTCAAACTTGGAGCTGTTAGACAACTGAGGTATCACTGATCATAATTTTCCTCGGACTCATGCACCTTTTCTTTTCTGTTTCATTTCAAGCCAAACAATCCTTCTCCAAATCACTCCTGCTTAGTATGATGTTGATTATGGGTTTGTCGTATATACCTTTTATCAATTTGAAGAAAGGTCTTTCTATATCTGTTTTCTTCAGAGATTTATTTTTTTAATCATAAAGGAAAGTTGCATTTTTCAGCGGCGTTTTTGGCATTTATTGTGCAGACCATGTGGTTTTCTAGCCTTGGTTTTATTTATGTGGTGTATTATGTTTATTGATTTACATATGTTAAATCAGCCCTCTATTCCTAGAATGAATCCAACTTGATCATAGTGTATGATATTTTTACTGTGTTGTTAAATTCTGTTTGCAAGAATCTTAGTGAGGATTTTTGCATCCATGCTCTTCAAGGATATTGGTATAAATAGCTTTCCTTTTTTATTTTAAAAATAAAAGGAGGAAAACATTAACAGACAGACAACCTTTTACAAAATAGCAAAAGAACAGTACAGACAATACAGAGTAACAAAGTGGTAGGAAATTAACAATGCTTGTTGTATTACATATTGATATAGCTTTCTTTTTTTTGTTGACTCCTTATCTAGTTTTAGTATGATGGTAATACTGGCTTCACAGAAAGAATTTGGAAATAGTCCTTCCCTTTTTATTTCATGGAAAAGTCTGAGGACCATTGGTGGTAACTGTTCTTTAAAGTCTGATAAAATTCAACAGAAAATCTACAGGGTCCTTGGATTTATTCAGTTGGGAATGTTCTTGGTACTATTTTAATTTCATTGCTTGTTATTGATCTATTTATATTTTTAAATCTTGAGGCTCAATTTTGGGAAATCACATGTGTCTAAGAACTTATCTATTTCTTCTAGATTTCTCAACTTATTGGAATATAAGTTTTCAAAATAGTTTCCAGTAATCCTCTTGGTCAGTGGTATTGGTTGAAACTTAGCCTTCGTTATCTCTCATTTTCTTAATTTAGGGCTTTTTCACTTTCTTTTGTTAAGTTTGGCTAAAGATTTATCAGTCTTGTTTATCTTTTCAAAGAAGCAATTTTTTGTTCACTGAACCTTTGTATTGCTTATCCTCCATTTCATTAACTATGTACTGATGTTTATTATTTCTTTCCTTCCATTGGCTTTAGCTTTGACTTTTTGTTGTGGACCTTGAGATGCATCATTAGGTTATTTATTTGGGATCACTCTGCTTTTCTAATGTGTTGTAAATGTCCCTCCTAGAATGCTTTCATTGGGTCCCACAGATTCTAACATTTTTCCATCATCACTTGATTCGAGGAATTTTCAAATTTATCCTTTAATATCGCAATGACTCACAATCATTCAAAAGTATTTTATTCAATCTCCATGTATTTGTGTAGTTTCTGTGGTTCTTTTGCTATTAGTTTCTAGCTTCATTCCATCCTGACACGACGCATGAGATCATTTCACAAATTGCTTGCTATTCTTTAAGGTTCGTTCTATGACTGAAAATATGGCTTTTTTTGGAGAAAGTTATGTGAGATGTTCCTGACACTATGTAGGTGCCTGGTAATTCCATCAAATGTTGTATTTTCAAGATAACATTTTCTTTTAAAAATTAGCTAAGATATATCATTCAGTAAATATTTAATACATATAAGTTTTCTGTTGGAAAAGCATATGAAATATAGAAAAGCGTGGTCTTCTTCAGTTTTAAATTTGAGTCAGAGATACCACTGTACAAGTAACTATAAGATATGATAGAAAAAAGTGTACAGACAAAAAGTGATTATAGGAATTTAAAAAGAAATGACTAAAGTGGTCAGAAAATAATTCATTGGAATAATAGTATATAATTATACCACAATAAAAAATGTTACCTTTTAGAACAAAAAACAAATCAATCAACTCTCCTAATAATTATCCAATACCTATTTAATACGTCCTATATCTTGCACTCTTTTTGACTATTTTCTCCGTACTATTACATTAATCTTCAAAATAGTTCCAGGAAGCAGTATTGCTATTGTTTCATCTATTTTACTGATGGAACATCTGAGGCATCTCAAGACAATGTTAGGTAATTTGCCAAAGTTATATAGCAACTGAAGAACAGAACAGGACTGGGACACAGGGTAACTAGATTCAGAGCGAGGACTCTCCACTATCACCTGCATTGCCTCTGGTTCAGCCAGACTAGGATTTCCAAGTAACTATCTGCTGAGCTGTTTCTAATAATACAACTGATTGAATTCACTATATTTTTATTTTCTTTTATTTTTTAAAGTTATACCTTACCCATAGATGCTAAAAGACTCTACTGTTCTTTCATTTATTTTGGAAGGACTCGGTCTTCCCTTACAGGGACAAATCCTCAAAATTTTTATCTGTGAAATAAAGGTTGAAGGCTTTATCAATAATTCCCAAACACTTCAAAAGTAATTCATTATTTTATAATATAAAATTACACAGACTTCTGTATTGTGGTTGTTCATCTATGTTTATTCATTACCCAACTATTGCTTAATGTGTAATGGGAAGCTTTAAAATAGCACAGGATTTTAAAACTCCAGGAATCCACTGTTTCAGAATAATTTGTAAAATCATTTCTTTTTTATTTTTTAATTTTAAAGAGAAAAAAGATAAACATAACAATGAAGCAGAGTTTCAAAACAGGTTATAAAGTCATTTCTACTAAAAATACTTGAGATGTTATGCTAGATTTTCTGTTCATTCCTCTAGCTGCTATTGTATCATTTCTGTCTGGCATGAGAATGGATATATATACATATATGTACTATCCAAATCCCTTAGTCATAAATCAAGATTTCTGTCTGGTTTTTTTTACCCCTAAATTTTCTCTGCTTTCTTCAACTTTAATTCTTTAATAAACAATAAAGCTTGTTTTGTAGAACTCATAATTACTATTGGACTCTTATGGAAAGGAAATGTGTTTAAATATATGAATTAAAATCTGGAATACAAATTGATAAAAGCTTAACCTATTTTGTGAAAACAATAAAATATGGGGCTGGGGATTTAGCTCAGCGGCAAAAGCACCTGCCTGGCATGCGCAAGGTTGTGAGTTCGGTTCCGGTACTGGAGAAAAACCAAAAAAAAAAAAAACAAACAACAAAACAATAAAATATATGTACATATATATTTTTTTCCTGAATCCAAACATGTCTCTAGTATATTCTGAAGGCAAGTTTTTATCTGTGTCTTCTCCATACCTACATAGTGAACTGGAAAACTGTGGGCAAATACCGTGTATAAGTGAAAGAATAAAGTTCAAAAATTTTTATTAACTTTGAAAGCACATAAGGTAACATTATTTCCTGTTCATGTCTATTTTTCCATTTTTAAAATTTCTTCTTAAGACTTTTGTTCAGTGCTTTCTCTGTTCCTTGAAAATATAATTCTAATTTAATACCTTCATTTAATGGAAATATTTGAGAAATATCAGTAATGACATTCTTGGTACTGGAGAAGAGGGGCTCCACTTGTAAAATGTTAGCCCCTGCACCATGGCCACCAGCAGTACCCAAAAATATCACCCAGGGTTTGGGGAGGGGTTGTATTTTCTGTTAGGATGGTCTTGACTTCTGCAGAATCAGTTTAAAGCTGCTACTCCAGCAGAAGGTTTTTAGATATATGTTTTTGGATGTTGTACCAGTGAGGGTTTTACTAGAGAAACAGGTATAACACAAGACATACAAATGTATAAGAAATTGCAAGATCGGCTTATGATGGCCCGCCACAGATTTTGATGAGGAAGCATGCAGAGGGTGTCGCACACTGGAGACCGAAGGATTCAGTTCAAGGTCTGGAGTTCACTGCAGTGTTCTGTGCAAGTCTGTATCAGGAGCACGATGGGTCTGTGATGGAAGGCTGATGAGTTTGCACCGCAAGGCTGAAGGATCCAAGGCAGAAACTGAAGCATCTGCACTGGAAGCCAGTAGACAATGTCCAAGCTGAAGGCAAGGACTGGAGCTCCTCCAAAGAATGGAAACCTTTCTGTCCTTCCTCATTTTTCTTTTAGATCATCTATGTGATGATGTGCCACCTTACGGTGGCTCCTCTACACTCTAGGGTGTAGAATTGCTGAGCCAATTTAGTAGCACTATACAGTGTTCCTTAGGCATGGTCAAACCAGTTGTTACCTTGTAAGGATCTGCTAAAAATCAAACAGGAGCATATGAAAGGTACTAGAGTGGCTTGCATGCATCTTTTGACTGTCTTTCCTAAAATTGTTCACTTGTTCCTTTGTGGTTCCACTAAAACTGCACAAATATTTGTCAGTACCTATGTTACTTTAATGCAATCTCTGGTTCACATGTCTCTTTTCCTGTTTTTATTGCTTGTTGTGTTTTATCAGTTGCATGTAACATGGAAAGGTTATTTACTATTTGTTGAATGAAGACTCTGGTATGAAAAACGAAGAGCTGCTGTGGTAATTGACCCAAGTAGTAAATTAAATAATAAGAATGGAGTGGTAGATTGTCTGGGGCATCCAGTATGAATGAGGTTTTCTTGTTAGGGTCCTCAGGCAAGAAAGGTGAGGCTACATTTGTAAGTGAAAATAAGCAGACTCCAGTGGACAGTAGCAGCAGGAACTAGCCTGGCTTGCCTATACAGGGAAGTAAGGAGAGGTAAGTTTGCACGTACTAAAGGCTTAGAAACAGCAAATAGAAGCTCCTCAAGTTGAATTAAAGAATGTATATTTTATTTGAAAGCAATAGAGAGCCTCTGTAAATCTTTGATCTGAACAATGAGCAATCAAAGTAACATTTTAAAAAATTATTTGAATGAGTATATGCTTAGATCAAAATTCACATGTATCAAATACCAGTTTATGAAGTATTTACTGTAGTCTGGGTCATCAGTTGATTCTAAAGGTCTCCTTCTTTCTGTCCTTATCCCACAGGTTGTTATTTTGTACTTCGAGCCGAGTACATTTCGCTGCATCCTCCTGAGATGGGTCCGTCTTCTCGGTTTTGCCACTGTGTACGGAACTGTCACTCTGAAGCTCCACAGGTATTCCGTATTATTCTTCATTTCTAGGGAAGGATCAAAGTTTGGGGCTTAGCTTGTAACTGTGTTCAGGGTTGGCCACTTAAATGTTTTAATTTTAATAATTCAGATACAAGATAATCTATATTTTTCAATTTCAAGGCAATATGTCTTAGATTCCCTAGGGAAATCTTTAATACAACTGAAGTTTGAAAAAGATGCTTTAGTAAAATGTGCATTGGTTGGTAAAATGTGTCATTCCTCCTTATAATTATGAAAAAGAAAAAACCCATTAGAGTGATAACTAGTATTTACTAGCTAAAACCAGGAAGAAATACAAAGACAATACAGCTAAAATGGTGATTTGTGTCTGAGCTGCCACAGAATCCTGTATAAGCTAATTCAGCAATGGGCTTATTTCACAAAAGCTACTGTCCTCCATTCCCAAGTTCTATGCTGACGATGTATGTGTGAGGTTAAAATATATATATTCTGGGCTTCCCTCTTTACCTGATATGCTGCCATGATTATCAACCTTGAAAAATGGAGAAAACTGTAAATTGCCTCATACTTAGTTTCAAAACCATGTATTAGGAAGAATGAGGCAATAAAATAAACTACTTATTTACAGAAGGTAGGGATGGCTGGGAAATAGTCAAAGGTTTTCTCTTGCCTCCCGTTTCCATATTTAAGCAAAGTTTCAGTGAAGTTGTGCCAAAGAGGATTGGAGAAAAACAAACAAATGCCTCTTGCAGGATTCAAATGTAACCTATAGAGAAAATGCTTTGTTTTGATCATCTCGGAAGCTGTTTTGATACCCACAATAAGGTATTAATACTTTCATGCTAATTTTTCCATAAGTGTTTCTCAGTGAAAGTCTTCTAATACTGCTCACACAATCAACGGCTTATTTTAGATGTCATAATGTGCATGTTTGTCTTATGTTAAATATCCTCCCCTTCAACCTTTTAAAAAGTGTGATAATTACTGACCACACAAGAATCTCCCTTCCTCCTTCCTTTCATCCCTCTTTCCTCTCCCCCACTTCTTCCTTCTCTCCATCCTCTTTCCTTCCTTTCTTCTTGCTACTGAGAAAAACTGAGAATGCTCTAGATTATCTTCTTGGAACAAATGTGAATACCCTTGACCCTAAAAATAGTAAATTACAAAGATTACTGGACAAGGTTTCAAGAGGTTCAATTTAGATATTACTGTATCCTCTCACTGTAAGGAATCATGGTTCTGTCTTATAAACAAAAGCATTGGGCTGGGGATGTAGCTCAACAATGTAAGCACCTGCCTGGCAAGCGCAAGCTCCTGAGTTCGATTCCCAGTACCAAAAAAAAAAAAAAAAAAAAAGAATTAGAAAAATCTATAACAGTTTTCTGCTTCTCTCTTTATTCTGTCCATATCATAGCACATTTTGCTACTGTGGCTTACTCTTCAAGTACCTCCCAGACTCCCATTCCTTCTGTAATCGCCCTTTGCCCACTAATGTTCACTGAAGGAAAGGAAGAATCAAGCACAGTAGACCTTCTAGAACTCCTGAAATAGTGCCCTCTTGTGACTTAAAAATAGCTCTTCTTCATACTGGTCTGGCTCTTAGTGTATATTGGGTTCTCTACTGTAATATTTTCACTGATTTACAGTTGTCTAAAAACTGTCTTCACTACCTTCCTGAAGTGAGAGTCCTTCCACTGAGTCTCCAACACTCAGCACAAAAACTGACACCTGGGAGGTGGTTACTACATATCAGCAGATGACTAGCTGAATGAAACACCCAGTGCATACATGGGCTCTGCTTTCCTGAGTTCTCTGCACATGGAACATGTTCACATTCCCCAGATCGCTGCATCATTGTGTCCCCACATGTCTGAAACACAGAACGCCATGGTCTGTCTGCAAAAAGATATTTGGTGGACTGTGAATACAGTACGAAATAAACCAAATCATGCAGTGAGAAAATTACTTCCATCTAGGTTTTATTTCAGTCCTTCTTATTATTTCCATGAGAAGGATCAGTTTGGAACTAGTAGGTCTTTAATACCAGTCAAACAGTTACTGGGCTTTCTATGGAATGAAGAGTGGATCAGGCAGCAAGCTTTTCACTACACTGCTATCTATTTAAGATGCATTACTTTTGTTTCATTTTTGTATTTTTGTTGTTACTTTCTGTTTATGCAAAGTGTTGTCTATTGGCTTTTCTTTAATGTAGCAAAATAGTTCCCTTTAAAATATTTTCAAACAATAAAAGGAAACTAATTTAAAGAAAACACTAACTGGTGCACAGATCCAGCAGAAATCTTGAGGGTGGCATGCAAATTATTGGAATGTAGGAAATGAGCTTATTTCATCATCTTTTTTGTTTATTTTTAAAGCCTGAAATTAACAGTGTTTTCTCTCTGTGACTCTAGAAGTCATTGCAATGAGGAATTACTCTATAGAAGGCTTAAATCGAGTGGAAACTATTTCTAATTTAATGAGCTGAATTATTCTTATCCTGTACGAACCATATGGCTTTATTATTATATTCTGGATTTTCCTCATATTGCTTAAATTTAACTGATTATATTATTGTTTGTCTATAAATGGAATAATCAGCATCCCAGAGAAATATGAGCAATTTGTAGGAAGGCAGACCGTGGACGGATGGGGCTGGGGTTTCTGTACCCCATGTTTAGTGCTGCACTTTGAATCTATCGTGCATCCAATATTGGTTAAATGAGTGGATGTGTGGATGGTTTTAATGAATGGAACAGTTAGTGGTATTTTGGGCTGATAGCTCTTAAAGTCAAGCAAAATGCAACCCAGAAGAAGTGACTTCTAAACTTTTCCAGTGACAAGATGAAGAGAAGAGACTAACTTCTTATAAATCCAAATATAAATGTCATTTCTAGTATAATTTCTTATGCAACCAAAAATAAACTACTTTAAGGAAACCACTCAAAAGGAAAGAATGACTGGGATGAGGGAAAAGAGAAAAGAAAGAAGGGGAAATATGTGTGTATGTATACAGAGGATAGCTAACATAGCTGTACTACTGACTTTTATTGCTCTGTTGAAAGGAACAGTTAATGTTTAAGTGTTTAATCAATCTTACATGTCTATATTTGTTTATCTGAACATCTAATTTGAAGATATCAATATGTAGTACAACAACCATTGTTAACTACTTTAACGTCTAAGAATGAATTTCCTCATACATAAAATGGTTTACTATTTTACTTATAAAGTTGTAAGTGTTAAATATACTTTGAATGGATGTAAATATACGAAATGGAGTTTTTTTTGGTTGCAAACCACAGAAACTGACTATGGCTAAGTTAAACAAAAAGGGAGTTCATTCTGAGGATATGGGAAAACCACAGAATTAATGGGAAACTGAAGAACAGGCGATGAGAAGACCATTTCCAGAGGAGCTTGAGGGATTAAACTAGGTTGAGCTAAGGGGTTTTCACAGAAATTTCAGTTTTCATTTTAAATTAAAAAAGTAAAAGTCAGTCATACCTCCCTAGACAGAAATTCTAAGGAAATTATAAGTAGGGATACATAAAATGACTGTCATAGTCCCTTGAAGATAAGATAGACAAAAAAGACCTGAGTTTTATGCTGTACAGGTATTTCCCTCATGGTTTAATAGAAACAGGAAACATTTTTTTCTCTGTCACCTGGTCTCTTCCTGATGAACTGTAGTGTAATAGAATTCCTAGAGCACTGAAAACTTGAAAAAGATATGAATAAGAAACAGGATTTCACTAAATCTTTAGAATTGGTACTTCTAGTCTGGGATGGGAACTCATTTTTACCAAATCTCTGTGCTTTTTCTCTGGTAATCCTGTGCCGTGTCTGAGAATGCAGACAAAGACTACTACAATAAGCCAAAAGAAAACTAAAAAAAAAAGTTTTTTTGATTATTAGCAGTGTAACACGGGCTGCCTTAAGCTTGGCTTGGGGATTGGAATGGTCTGTCTATCCCTTGGGGAGCAGTATTTTGTCACTGATATTGTTTGGTATAACTAGCATTTGTGACCATAAAAATCAGACCAACATTCACTTATTCACTGATTTATTTGCAGTGTTGGGGTTTGAACCCAGGGCCTCATGTATGCTAAGCATACCTTCTACCAATAAACTACACCACTGATTCCAGATCAACTTTTAGGTTTCTTTATTATTTATTTAAATTCTCTACAAATACCCCACCCCACCCCCCACTGGCAGGCCTTCATGCAATGCAATTTATTGAGATTGGAAGCTATTTCACCCTGTTTGAAAAAAGGGGTGGAGTGTAACAATACAGGTTTTTAGTTAGCTCAGTAGGGATCATAAGGTAGGAAAAAAAATGAAGTGGACAAAACAAAGAACATGCATTTATACAAGAGTTTCCTTCAGTAACCAAAGAATTGTTTGACAGTATATGAAGGCCATAGGCCAGATCTAAAAGGACATCTAGTACTTTCATGGACATGTGGGTTCATATAATACCTGACCTCCTGATTGTTAATTTGTTTAAGAAACTGGGGAAGGCATAATCTCTAGGCTTAGAAAAGCCACATATGTTTTTAGGAGGCAACATAAGAAAATGTTTTTAAAGAAAAGAGGGGTGGAGAGAAATTTTAAAACTTAAAAGAATATTTCCCTACAATAATGTTTTTGAAGCCACATTAGCTTTTCATTTTTCCCAGGCTAATCAACAAAAGACAAAGAACTTCTTTTATACTGTGTTTAAAATGAATCTTTAAACAAGCTGCAAAAAGGCTTCTCCTGGCTGTGGACTGGGATTTGTCATTTCATGCATTATTCAGCACTCCTTGCTCTGGGTACAACCCGCAGCAGTTTTCTCTGCTGTGCTCATTAGCACCAAATATTTACAGTTTGTGGGAAGGTTTGTTTTTTATATGTTTTAGTTTGTTTCCTAGTAAATTTTAAAAAGTAACTGGGAGATATTTATATATATTTATTTTATGTATTCTTCTAAGTACATATAAAATAAGAGACCTTAAATTTCTAAAACTGCAAAAGAA